CCTGGGATCACAGGGCTCAGGAATTGCAGCATCACAACTAAACTCTAGATGTCCTGTGTTTGTTCCAGAAACTGGGCTGCAAGATCGGAGATTAGGAGGACAGTTGTGTGAGAAGCTTGTCTCTGGCAGAGGAGGTTTTGTCTTTGGCATCTGCCCGGCTCAAAGCTGGCTGTCGCCATTCGAAGAGGACTGGAATCGTCAGCCCACAGGGCATCTTGCTTCATCCCCAGACGGCTCACAGGGATCTGAGGGGCTTGCGAGAGCGTCAGCGTTAGGGACTTCCTGGAGGTTCAGTGGTTACGACTCTTGAGCTTCCATGCAGGGGGCTGTGGGTTTGACCCCTGGTCAGAGAACTATGTCTCACATGCCCCGAGGCACAGCTAGAAAGTTTGTTTTTTTTTTAAGAACATAAATGTTACAGGCTTTGGAGAAGATCCTCAGGGCACTGCTAAGAGGATCCAATTCCTGCTCAGCATCTAATAGTGAAACCAAGAAAGGAGATAGGATTGAAGCTTGACCCCAGGGGCTGGTGCTTCTAGTTGGGATCTCTAGATGAAAGAGGTGCTGCTTTTTGCCTTTTTCTGCAACATTTGCATCTCTGTCCTGCCTCTCCAGTAGCCCCCGTGCAGCACACCAGAGTCACCAGGCAAGTGGGATGTGTATTGAGAGGCACGAGCTCATCACCAGCCTGTAACAAGCGTGCAGAGGCGGCGCAGGTCACAGGGAGGCCGAGGAGAGTCGGTGTTCGGGAGTGGGAATTCTTTTCTCTTCTTTGGCCTCGTAACTGAATTTGCTGCTAGAAGTTATACTTCTCATACAGTTCTTAAATGATATTTTTGTTTCACTGGAAGAGAAGGGATGTGGTTTGGGCGGTAGAACCAGGGTAGGTGTTGGCAGGAGAGAGAAAGGGAACAGCTGATTTCTGTCTGGTGAGAAAGAAGCGTCCGCCCCCGGGGTCTAGCCGGCAGCATCCCATGGTCAGGCCCCGGAGGAGGAATATTTAAGCTTCATTCACTGTCCAAATGTCACAGCCTCTTCCCACTTTTTGTCAGCCCTTGGGGCCAGAGGTTACCTGCACTGCAGGGGGCCGCTCATTTCACCAGCGGCTCCAGAGCTGGAGCCCCCAGGAGTGAAATCCCCGCCTCTGGTTATTACTGACCCAGCCCAGAGTGGGTCCCGGGTGAAAACATCCTCCACCGTGGTCCTTACAGGATGAGACAAGCTGAGATGCCTCTGACAGTCAGGGTGAGTCTCCACTGAGAACCCAAGCTGGGGCACCACCTGTCCAAAGAGACCATGGGCCCCCCAGGCCCCCTGGGCCCCCACCCTTCTAAACAGCCTGGTCCGCTTTGAGCCTCTGTGCTGAGCCTCGTGCATGACTGATCACTGAATGTGGCTGCAGGCTGGCCGCTCAATAGGTGCTGCTGCTGCTTCGCTGGCCTCTGCATTCCATCCCCTCACTGTTTATGAGGGTCTGGGGCATGAAAACTAAGTCACCTCCAAAGTGAGATCCTGGAGGAATCAGTGGGTGGAGGACAGTAAATAAGATGTGAAGTCCTACTGGGTCTATCTGGGTTGGAAAAGTTTGCTGGGAGAAAGGCAGGAGGGAGGCAGGAGGGTCTCGGCCTTCTCGGTGCCCAAGGCCAAGTCACTTTAGCTGACTTTTGAGCCCATCTGGGGAATAGGTGGGTGCCTGCCAGCCTGGGAAAGGGACGTTTCCCCAGCCCCTCAGTGGGTCTGTGGCTGACATTTATCTCCAGGGAAGATGCCGTCAGTTTGGAACTTCCTACCCTGAAATTAGCGAAGAGCTGTGGTGAGGTTTCTGCCACGCCTTTCCAAGAACAATCTCAGGGGCTTCCCTTTGGTAGTTGGGGTAAGCCATCCCTTTCTCTAGGGGTCGCAGCACACTTTAGAAAGAGACCAGAGTGGTTGGGCCTGGGGGATTTTTTCCACATGGAAGAAAGTCTATAGTGGACAGTTTCCCTTCGACCTCTTTGTAAAGCAGCTTGCGTTGCAACAGCTCCGCTGAAAAGTTACATGGCCTTTCGCGCCAAGGACTTTGAAACCAGCATTGTTGATTTTTCCTCTTTACTGTCAAGCTCGGTGCTGTTACCATAGTGTTTATATATATATATATATACATATATATGTATATGTATATATATATATATTGGCTGTCTAGAGAGTGTTAAATACAGTAGCCCGTGGTTTACAAGGCCCGTGACTTTCCTGTGGCCTGAGCCATAGGTATATATTCTGTCTGAAAATAAGCAAGCACTGTGTGGAGCATCAGCAGAATTGCTTTGTTGTCAGCAGAGGGGGAGAAGCCGTGAGGCCCAAAGCCTTGTCACCCCTGCTGTGAACGCACGCCTGCTGCCTGGTGTGGGGACATCTGTGTGGCCGACAGACAGGCCTCTGTGCTGTGTAGGTGCTGTCCAGGATCTGAGTCTGTTTGTTATCCAAGCGTAGAAAAGGGAAATCAAACATTCTTTCATATCATTCTAAGCCCTGTGCAAACACAGCCCGTGGACAAAGCCCTTTGCCGGCCCGTGACAAGGAGCTGTTTGTGCTGACCGCCAGTCATTAGCGGCCGGAGCAGGGCCGAGCCGACGGTGTTTCATGGGCACTGTGGTGATTTCTGCCCTCCTGAGCCAGCATCGGACAGCTGTCATGGGGCAGAGGTCGCCCTACGGAAGTTCAATCAGAGCACCCATTGGGAGCCTTCAGCAAATGCCACGTCTCACAGGCTCAGAGCCATCACACCCAGCCACAGGAAGGCGAATGATCATTTAGGAGGAGTGCCTTTGAGCCAGGGGCTTCAGTAACCACAAATGTCCAGACTCAGTCGGGGTCTGCCTGCCTCTGATGCAACCAAAGCAAAAACCTGAGCTCAGGATTAAAGATCTTCCTCTCACTCCCCTGGACGACCCAGACATAACCCTGTGGGTTCTGAATACTAAGGGCCATTTCTTCACCAAAAGGACTTTGATCCACTAAGCCCAGAACAGCCTGTCTGTTCCTCTGGTTATCCACGTTGACTCCAGCCGACTTGCTCCGGCCGCTGACGCCCCGCCGTCCTTCCTGCAGTCTCTGCCTCACAGCGAATCCTGAAGGGGGCCTGGCAGGCTGCTGGACGGTGCAGGTCTGGGTTCTCTATCCTGTGGGTGCTGAGGAAGCTCGAGAGAACGTTGGTTCCTTTTCTAAGAAATACTTCAAACCGCCACAGGGTTGTAAAGAAGCGTTTAGCAGAATATAAGGACACAGAGCCATCTCTGAAATGACTAGTGTTCTTTCTCTGGAGGATGCTCACCCTTTCCCTTGATTTGCAAGAATTTGGAAGTGAGACTCTTGCTGAACACAGTATCTGCATCGGTTATTTGTTGCTGTGTAACCGATCATCCCACGGCTTCCCAGGCGGCACTGGCGGTAAAGAACCTGCCTGCCAGTGCAGGAGACGTAAGAGATGTAGGTTCGATCCCTGGGTTGGGGAAGAACCCCTGGAGGAGAGCATGGCGACCCTCTCCAGTATTCGTGCCGGGAGAATCCCGTGGACAGAGAAGCCTGGTGGTCTGTGGTCCATAGGGTCGAAGAGTCGGACACAGCTGAAGCAACTTAGCACGCACCCATGCAACGAATCACCCCAAAACTTTGTAGCTTCAAACAATCATTTAACATCTCTCATTGCTTCTGTGGGTCTGGAATTCAGAAGTGGCTGCTCTGAGCACGCCTGGCTCAGAATGTCTTATGGGGTTTAAGTCAGATGTTGGCAGGAGGCAACCTCTGGAGGTTTGCCTGGGCCTGGAGGATCCTCATCCAAGGTGGCTCATTCATGGGACTGATGAGGTGATGCTGGTTGTTGGCTGGAGACCTTGGTTCTTCTCCACCTGGGCCTCTCCAGAAGCTGTCCTGAAGAGAGCACAATCTTAGATAGCGGTCCCCAACCTTTTTGGCACCAGGGACGAGTTTTGTGGAAGACAGTCTTTCCGCAGGCTGATTTTGCGGAAGATGGTTTCTGGATGATTCAAGCGCATTACGTTTATTGTGCCTTTTATTTCTATCAAATGGTGCCGCTGATCTGTCAGGAGGTACTGGTCCACAGCCTGGAGGCTGGCCCTGATCTAAGAGGCCTGAGGAGATACCGTACAGCTTTTATGATGTCACCTCAGAAGTTGCATGGATCACTCCCACTTCATTGTATTGGTCAAAGGGCAGGAACATGCATCCCACCTTTTGACAGAGGAAGGTCAGCATCACATTGTAAAAGAAAATGTGAGAGAGTGGGCCATTTTATTTTCCCTAAATCCATAGTGCCTCATGGGTATATAATAGCACTGTGCAACTAAAAAGCATGTCCCATTTTGCAGATGAGGAAACTGAGGCTCAGAAAAGTATGGTAACCAGCCTGAGGTCTCACGTCTGGCAGGAAGGAACAAAAGCCAGTTCTAACTCCTAGGTCACAACGGTGTAGCCTTGCCAGGTTCTCTCCCCATGTCTTACACTGTCTTACATCCCCTTATACTGCTGTAACTGCAAATCACACCGACTGTTCCGTCTTTCCAGCATCTCCAAGGTGTACATGCTCTCTTAATTCAAGTGTTTTAGATGATTCCTCAGATGATGTCTGTCTATAAATTGTTACTTCACTGAGTTGAGGCTCAATGGGAGTGAGTTTCAACTAATTGTAGAGCCCTGCTTACAAAAGTGCTGTGGCCGACCGTGACAGTGTATACATTTTCCATTGTTTCCATGCTGTTTGCTTCTGAGATCTCAGGAATGATAACCACACCATAATATGTGTGTGCTTACATTCTGTTTGACTGTCTATTTAGTCTTGTTTATATTTGAAACAGGAAAGAATCATCACTGCTTGCTTCAGTCGTCTTCATAGTACTTGGTCATCATTAAAAAGGAGATTTTACCATTTTTTGATGTTCCAGTCGCCAGAATGAAAACGATAAAATCCAGCTGCCATAATCGTGTTCTGTTATTCTTGGTTGCAGGTCAAACTTCCATTTCCTGTCGATCAAATCACAGACCTTCCGAGGAATGACTTCCAGATGATGATCAAGATGCACAAGCTGACTTCGGAGCAGTTAGAGTTCATTCACGATGTCCGCCGGCGCAGCAAGAACCGCATCGCCGCCCAGCGCTGCCGCAAGAGGAAGCTGGACTGTATTCAGAACTTGGAATGTGAAATCCGCAAGCTGGTGAGTCGGCCTGCCCTTTGCTATCAGCAACCTGGAATGATCAAGACTGATGCGGAGTTTCAGTAGCAAAGGCCAGACAGACAGAGAGAAGGGCCACCATTCAGGGACATTCACAGTGATTTTTAAAGGCGTTCTTAACAAGAAACAATAGCTTTACATCTGTAATATATGTGTGGCTGTGTGATTGTGTGTCCGTGTTTTATATCTTAGCCATTTGTGTAGATCACAGGGGCAGTCGTCCCTGGGCGTGCTCAAACCACCAACTTTGCCTGGTGGCTCAGCTGGTAAAGAACCTTCCTGCAATGAGTTCGAGCCCTGTGCTGGGGACATCACCTGCAGAAGGGAAGGGATACCCACTCCAGTATCCTGGCCTGGAGAATGCCATGGGCTGTGTACTCCATGGGGTCACAAAGAGTCGGACAAGACTGAGGACTTTGACTTTCACTTTCACATTCGCATAGAGGTGATTTTTTTTTTAAGTCTAATTGATTTATAACGTTGTGTTAGTTTCTTTGTACAGCAGAGTGAGTCGGTTATATATATTTAGTTTTTCACATTCTTTTCCATTATGGTTTGTCTTAGGATATTGAATGTAGTTCTCTGTGCTATATACTGGGACCTCGTTGTTCATCCATCCTATGTATAATACTTTGCCTCTGCTAATCTGAAACTCCCATTCCTTCTCTCCCGTAGAGATAATTCTTCTTATTTTCCATTCAGCGTGAGCCGAGAGCTAACATTTAGTGCTGCGTGTGTGGACCAGGTATTTTTCTGGTCTCTTTCTGTAGCTGGTCACGTGTAATCCTCACATCAGCCCTATGATTTAAGTGCTACTTCACCTCCATTCACAGAGGAGGAAACCAGAGTGCAGAGAGCTTTGGTAACTCCCCACCTTGTGATGGAGCTTGAATGCAAGTCTGGTTGTCTGATCCCAAATCTTGTCATTGCCCTGCTTTCTCCTGCCTCCCACGGAGGGGTAGGTTAGGGGCAGGACGCCAGCCTGCCACCGGGGGCGGCTCAGCCACCTGATCTCCTGAAGCCCTTCTCCGCCCTGGGGTCCTGAATTCTGCACCTTCTGCCTCAAAGTGGTCATCACCTCTTCCCATGCCGGGGAGTCTTTTGTCTCTGGGACTCATCTCTGATCTTTCAAGCCTCCGCCTCACTCAGAAGTCTGCATTCCCTTCTGAATCAGCAACCTTAAGCTACAGAAAGTAAATCCAGGTGGCCTCTGGCTCCTGACTATACACTTGAAGGAAGTCGGTACAGCCTCATTCAGCGCATCCTTCCTGCTTGCCCAATCCTAGAAACTCATCCCAGGAGCCATATCTGTGGCGGCCTGAAGCAGAGGGAGGCCACGCACTGTGGTCAGGACCTGAGTGTGGGTCCTCAGGCTACATGTGATGGTCCTTTGCCTCATAGTAGGCCAGTGTCCTGATGAGAACCTCAGAGCAAGAAGAGACATTTGAGACTGCAGATTCAATTCAGTTCAGTCACTCAGTTGTGTCCAACTCTTTGCAACCCCATGGACTGCAGTATGCCAGGCTTCCCTGTCTATCACCAACTCCCAGAGTCTGCTCAAACTCATGTCCATCAAGTTGGTGATGCCATCCAGCCATCTCATCCTCTGTCATCCCCTTCTCCTCCCGCCTTCAATCTTTCCCAACATCAGAGTCTTTTCCAATGAGTTAGTTCTTTGCATCAGGTGGCCAAAGTATTGGAGTTTCTGCTTCAGCATCAGTCCTTCCAATGAACACCCAGGACTGATCTCCTTTAGGATAGACTGGCTGGATCTCCTTGCAGTGCAAGGGCCTCTCAAGAGTCTTCTCCAACACCACAGTTCAAAAGCATCAATTCTTCGGCATTCAGCTTTCTTTATAGTCCAACTCTCACATCCATACATGACTACTGGAAAAAAAATAGCTTTGACTAGACGGACCTTTGTCGGCAAAGTAACGTCTCTGCTTTTTAATATGCTGTCTAGGTTCGTTATAACTTTGCTTCCAAGGAGTAAGCATCTTTTTCCAAGGAGTAAGCATCTTTTAATTTCATGGCTGCAGTCACCATCTGCAGTGATTTTGGAGCCCCAAAAAATAAAGTCTGTCCCTGTTTCCATTGTTTCCCCATCTATTTGCCATGAACTGATGGGACCAAATGCCATGATCTTAACTTTCTGAATGTTGAGTTTTAAGTCAACTTTTTCACTCTCCTCTTTCACTTTCATCAAGAGGCTCTTTAGTTCTTCTTCACTTTCTGCCATAAGGGTGGTGTCATCTGCATATCTGAGGTTATTGATATTTCTCCCGGCAATCTTGATTCCAGCTTGTGCTTCATCCAGCCCAGCATTTCTCATGATGTACTCTGCATATAAGTTAAATAAGCAGGGTGACAATATACAGCCTTGACGTACTCCTTTTCCTATTTGGAACCAGTCTGTTGTTCCATGTCCAGTTCTAACTGTTGCTTCCTGACCTGCATACAGGTTTCTCAAGAGGCAGGTCAGGTGGTCTGGTATTCCCATCTCTTTCAGAATTTTCCACAGTTTATTGTGATCCACACAGTCAAAGGCTTTGGCATAGTCAATAAAGCAGAAATAGATGTTTTTCTGGAACTCTCTTGCTTTTTCGATGATCCAGCGGATGTTGGCAATTTGATCTCTGGTTCCTCTGCCTTTTCTAAAACCAGCTTGAACATCTGGAAGTTCACGGTTCACGTATTGCTGAAGCCTGGCTTGGAGAATTTTGAGCATTACTTTACTAGCGTGTGAGATGAGTGCAATTGTGCGGTAGTTTGAGCATTCTTTGGCATTGCCTTTCTTTGGGATTGGAATGAAAACTGACCTTTTCCAGTCCTGTGGCCACTGCTGAGTTTTCCAAATTTGCTGGCATATTGAGTGCAGCACTTTCACAGCATCATCTTTCAGGATTTGAAATAGCTCAACTGGAATTCCATCACCTCCACTAGCTTTGTTCATAGTGATGCTTCCTAAGGCTCACTTGAGAAACTTTGAATAAATGTTACTTGTTGTCTGGACTTGTGGAGGCAGTGGGAGAAGGGGAGGGTGGGATGAACCAAGAGAGTAGCGCTTACATATACACACGACCATGTGTAACATAGACAGCTAGTGGGAGGCTGCTGTATGGTACAAGGAGCTCAGCTCAGGGCTCTGTGACGACCCACAGGGGTAAGATGGGAGTAGGGGGCGGGAATGAGGCTCAAAGGGATAGGACATATATATACGTATAGCTGATTCACGTTGCTATGCAGCAGAAACTAACTCAGGATTGTAAAGCAATTAAAAAACTAAAGAAAAAGTTTTTTAATGTTACCTGTTCTCAAGATAGTCCTGAACGTCATGTTTTGTTTTCTTTTTGATCTAATTAACACCCACCAAGCAGGGAAGATTTACCCATGTTCAGCAGCTGCCATCACCTCCATGATAAAGGCCAGGTTCCTCAACAAGATGCGTTGTGCTGTCCACGACTCAATCTTCCCCTCTAGCATCACCTTCCACTCCCTCCCTGGAACTAGACCCCCAGTAAAATCAAACTGGGTGCATTTCCCCCAGCCCCAGCTCCCGCTGTTTCCACCTCTGTGTTCCTGCCTCTGCTGCGTCTCCTCCACCCGGGACAGTCCTCGACTGTTTTTTTATGTGTCTTTTGTTCCTTAAGAGACAGGTTGCTGTCTCCTCCTAGAAGCCCCTTTGCTGAGTCTCTGGTGAGGCTGAGTCTCTGTCCACAGAGCCCTTTCTGATGTCTGGCTTCGTACTTACCACATTAGTCTTGGTTATCTGTGTATCTGTCTGTCTCCTCAATCCCGGCCCTAGACTGTGGATTCCTCATGACCAGGACAGTCTTGATGATCTCTGAATTCCCAGTGCAAGCCCCTGAAGCCTTTCAGGAAATGTCTGTTGCCCTCAAATGTATTGGACATTGTGACTGAGTCCTGGGATTGAAAATTCCTTCTTTTTTCAAATTTTTCTCTAATGTTCTAACAACAACGATGAGGCTTCCCAGGTGGCGTTAGTGGTAAAGAACCCTCTTGCCAACGCAGGAGATGTTAGAAATGCAGATTCGATTCCTGGGCCGGAAAGATCCCCTGGAGGAGGGCATGGCAACCCACTCCAGTACTCTTGCCTGGAGAACCCCATGGGCAGAGGAGCGTGGGGGGCTACAGTCCGTGGGGTCCCAAAGAGTTGGACACGACTGAGTGACTGAGCACACACATGTGACAACAGCAACAGAAATGTTTAATTTAAGCCGACATCAGGAAGCCAGATACCGCTGCTGGTGAGTGTGTGGGTCTTCTGGAAGCCTGCTTGGCTTAGTCGGGTACTCGGGCAAGGCTGGGCCTGCAGGAGATAAGCCATCGAGCCTTAAGCACATGCCTGTGGTAATTCTGGCCCTGCGCTCTTTTCCAGGTACAGGAATAAATGTAATCACCCATGTTTGAGAAGTGCCTGACTTTTTGTAACTAGCTCTCTCCTCTGTGTACCTGTGTCGTACGGAACAAACTGAAAAAGTCTAAGCCACACACCCGGCAGAAACTCAAAGCTCTGTGCTGATATCGCTCAGCTGAAACCGGAGGGCATCTCCTAGTTCTCCCCTGGCCTTTTTGGAAGCCCCTTGAATAATGTGCTACCTTCCCCGTGGAATGTGAGTGTCACGTGCTCACCCACAGTGCACCTGTGACTTAAAGCATCCTGCTCTTAACCGAGGCCTGGATTTATACGGCCTTTCCTGCAGAGAGCCAAACACTGCCAATTGCAGCATTTTCTTCCTTCTAGAAAGTGGCCCAGGACACGTTGCCGGTCGGTGGGCCTGGAGGGGTAGGTGACTTGGCCAAGAAGATGTGGCAGAATTGAGACCGAGTTCCTCCCCAGGGATGGTGTTGCCTCTCAGTTTACTGAGTTGCAGGTCCAGGGAAGGAGGTCCAAGTTGCACAGCTGCTGGTGTAAGATGTCCTTTCCTCGGGAGCCCTCCGGATGGGTTTTATTCCGTCCCTCCACTTCCACCAGCCCCCGGGGGCGGTGTCCACAGGCTGGTCCCAGCCGCTCACTCCCACTGGTCTCCCGCCAGGCACTCACTCTGCTTTTGCAAACTTGCAAAATATATTTCTCTCTCGAGTTGCACTTGTACATCTGTTTATTTTTCATCTCTAAAGCATGTTTTCTTGATAAATTTATAAATATTTTAGCAGGTGCCCTTTCCCCGTGTAAATCTCTATCTCCAACACACATGCCCACACATCTGCCAGATTGCATTCGTGTTTCAGCACGTGCAGCTCCCGTGCAGGAGACCCTGCGGTCGTGTGTTTGCCTCGCTCTCTCTTGCTCAATCTCTCTCTCTCTCTGCCCTCTTCCCTCTTCTCTCTCTTTCCCATCCTCTCTCATCCACTCCTCAGCTCTCTGCATACCCTTGCCAAGGGTCAGGCCTCACTTCACACCCCTTCAAATGTCCAGTTTCTCCGTCCATTTCACAGCTGTGCATCTCAGGGAGATTCCTTATGTTCTGTCCTTACACAGATAGTTATGACCACATTCACCTCTCTTATAGGGTGATGAGTTTTAGTAACACTGGAGTCTATATGGCGTTTTCTCCGAGGAGAACATCTCGGAACCCTGGGCTAGTACACTCAGCCTGTCTTACCCCTCTGTGAGCACTTTCCACGTCCAGAGAGACTGGGTACTTGAGACTCACTACACAGTCCTCAGGCATCCTAAGAGGACCCGTTGTGTTCAGTCCGTCGGCTGCAAAGGTCAAGAGCGTGCTGGTGTAGGATGAACCATAAGAAACTGCAGCGGTTGAATTTTTTTGCAATTTTCATGGGTTTTTTTTTTTTTTAATAGACTTGCTTTTCTAGAGAAGTTTTAGGTTCACAGAAAAATTGAAAGGAAAATAAGAGTTCCCACCTGCCCCTTCCTTCTGCTCACTCACCGTCTTCTCAGAGTGGTGTGTTTGTTACAGGGGGTGAGTCTGTGTTGATAAATTGTAATCACCCAGAGTCCATAATTGACCGGAGGGCTCACTCTTGGTGGTGTGTGTTCTGTGGGTTTGGACAAATGTGTAATGACATGTATTCACTCTGACAATGGCGTCGAGTAGTTGCATGCCCTAAAAATCCTCTGTTTCAGTTATTCTTACCTCCCTCCCCAGCCCCAGCCGCTGGCAGACACTGATCTTTTTGTGTCTCTGTAGTTTTGCCTTTTTACAGAATGTCTTATAGTTGGAATTGGTCAGTTATTTTTGACCTTCAGAAATCAAACCCTAATATATCTGAGAGAGATTTTCAACTATAAGGTTGGGAACTGAGAGTTTTCCAGTTGATTCTCTTCAAACCCCAAATACCAGGAAACTGGAATCTTGATTGTCTCGTTTTCCAGTGGGCGGAGACTTTGCTGGTCGCTTGGCCAGGGGCTTCCCTGGTGGTTCAGCTGATAAAGAATCTGCCTGCAGTGGGGGAGACCTGGGTTCAGTCCCTGGGTTGGGAAGATCCCCTGCAGAAGGGAAAGGCCACCCACTCCAGTGCTCTGGCCTGGAGAATTCCATAGACTATATATATATAGCCCATGGGGTCACAAAGAGCCGGATGAGACTGAGCAACTTTCACTTTCACTTTTTCGGCCAGGCCTCAGAGAAGGGTGAAGAGCTGCCGCGGGGAAGGTGTCAGGGACGCTGGCGCATCTCCGTGGGCTGCTCAGAGGGGAGACGCTGAAAATATGGGTCCTGGCTCCCTGGACAGGGGGCTTTTGAGTTTCTAGATTCTGACCTAGCCATTCATAAATGCATGCATGCAAGTTGCTTCAGTCGTGTCCAAGTCTTTGCAGCCCCGTGGATTGCAGCCCACCGGCTCCTCTGTCCACGGGATCGTCCAGGCGAGAATGCTAGAGTGGGTTGCACTGCCCTCCTGCAGGGGACCTTCCTAATGTAGGGCTCGAACCCAGGTCTCCTGTGGCTCCTGCCTTGCGGGCAGCTTCTCTGGCGCTGGGGCCCTGGGGAAGCCCCAGTCCTTCTCGAGTTACACTCTAACGTAGGCTGCGAAAACCTGAAGCAGGGCCCCCCGCAGAACACAGGGCCCGCGCTGCCCGCGTTCAGGCTGCATCAGGTCTCCTCTTTTTCGTCTCCTCCAGGTGTGTGAGAAGGAGAAGCTGCTCTCGGAGAGAAACCAGCTGAAAGCGCACATGGGGGAGCTGCTGGACAACTTCTCGTGCCTCTCCCAGGAAGTCTGCCGGGACATCCAGAGCCCCGAGCAGATCCAGGCCCTGCATCGGTACTGCCCCGTCCTCAGGCCCGTGGCTCTTCCCACAGCCCCCAGTATTAGCCCCGCGCCCCTGGGCGTGGAGCAGTGTGCGGCGGGGGAGAGCGCGCCCTGCTGCTTGGAGCAGGGGGCGGCGGCCCCCGGCCCCCCCTGGGCCCCCGGCAGCGCCTCGGAGAACTGTACTTCTGCTCGGAGGCTGGAGGGCACTGACCCGGGGGCTTTCTCTGAGCGAGGGCCTCCCCTGGAACCCAGGAGCCAAACGGTGACCGTGGACTTCTGCCAGGAAATGACTGATAAGTGTACAACGGATGAACAACCCAGGAAAGATTACCCCCAGTGACGGCCTGCCTGCGAGTTCTCAGCCCCCTCCCACACAGCTGTCCTTGGGTCAGCCTGCAGTGCTGTTCGTCTGTCGTCTGGAAGAACCGAGAAGGAATCTGGTGCACACTACAGCGGTCTTAGCAGCAATACTGTTTCTTAGTATTCTCTCCTCCCTTCAAGCAGGAGCGACATATAGTTACCCTCACAATGGTGCTACCCCTTGTTCAGGCAAGGGAAGACGACAGTGGCAAAGCTGTCTGTCTGTGGGTTCATTTCAGTCTTTACAGGGATGGACTAACACCTCTAGGACCCAACCGCGGATTTCTTTTCTCCGTGGCCCATGTCACAAAGCCTATCTCAGGAATTTCTTCTGAATGTTCAACTTTTTTCATGGAAGACAGCTTCTATACACATCAAAGTTTTATAGCTAGACTGTACATAGTATATATATAATATATATGAAATATATTATCTCTCTCCATATGCAAAAGTCCTGCATGCCTCAATTTTCTCCTCCTGAAACTGGAAACTTGGTTTCTCGTTTATAAACAGGTTCCAACATTCCTCTTTTGTCTCTGATGCTAGAACCGGTTTGTAACTGTTAACCTGGTCATTTTTCTTGCTTCACAGTTCAAGTTGTGCTTATTTATGGACAGAATTCAGTGTTGGAAGCTTTCTTTGACATTTTATTTCAGACCTTTTATTTCTTGCTGGTTTGGTTTGATTTGGGCACTCTCAGATGGTGCCAGTTGAGTATCATGGGTTGTTTTTTGTTTGTTTTTTTTTTGCGGATACTGTATAGTCAAGGTCAACTTTGCCACTTGCACTGAGTTTTGGGTCAAACATATTTTCTTAAATGAAGTTGTCACTTCAGTATAACTCAAGTAAACTGTATATTCTTTGCTCTTACTTCAAAAAGTAAAACAGCTAATTAAAAAAAAAGCACTCAGGTGATAATTATGTAGGAAAAACAATCTTGCCAAATAATGAATTCATCCTAGGATGTAGACAATAATCTGCTTGAATATTTTTATATTTCACCTCCTCCCCACCTTTTCCTAAGCAAAGTTAAAATGCAGAGTGTTCAGAGTTGATGTTCAGATTTCTAAGTGGGGAAAGAGTTTGGACATCTCACTGGAAAGTGCATTGAAACAGCGGGAATCGTGATGTTATACTGGAACTCAGCAGGCTTCGGCTCCTAGATACCAAGTTAGAACTGGTTTCTCAGCCAGGGAGTAAGTCCCATTCATTTCAACACTGCCCCAGACCTCTGCCTGCTCTGGATGTACAGAACAGTAGGAACTTCTTCGAAGGACTTAGCTGCTTGGCCACCCAGCCCAGGACCTGCCTCCCCTGGGACTCACCTGGGGGGCTTTGCATCACCGCCCTGGGGGTCCCACCTTTATGTGGCTGTCCTGGGGTTGATGCGGCGGGCCCCGCCCGAGCAGGAGAGAGCAGGACAGTTGTAGCCTGAAGTCTGTTCCTGGCGCAGACAAAAGCATTTCTTTCTCCCTTGTTTCTCCAGATGCTTTAAGTTGCATCCTGAGGTTTTCCCACCAATTCTCTTGGTCTGAAGGCAGATTTCATTCTGAGGCTTTGGATACGATGCGTCCAGGAGCCCTCCCTGCCCCTGACCCCCACCACGCACCTCCCTACTCTCTCCTGATGATGATTTCCTTCTTTTGCTGCAAAACTGGTTGACTTGCAACCCACAGAGAGCGGCTTCCCTTGGCTCAGGGGGCGTGTGGGCCCCTGGCTGCGTTTACAGGAAGGGGTGCAGACCCCTCGAAGCCTGTGCTGGGGGAGAGTTCAGTCCCCTGCTCCTGTGGGTCCTCCAGCTTGGCTGCGGGGAGGAGTCCTGAACAGTTTAATGTGGGGATGGGGTGGTGGGCCGTGGGGACTAGACGGTTGATTTTGTTTCTTCATTTGTGCCATTGTTTGGAAGATATTAAAGCTGCATGTGAAAGGGGAAATTAGTATATGACGTAGGCGAAACGTGAAATCATAGTAACATATGTTTTAGTATTATTAACTTTTTTCTGTACAAATATTAGTGCTAAATGTTTAAATATGTATGAATGCCAGAAATTTGTTGGTTCATGCGGTAGGGTTTTTTTAAAAAAAAAAAAAGGCTTTTCTTTGAAAATAGTTCCACTTTTAGAACCTGCCTCTGGGCTTTTGTTTTTTCTCGTCTGTGTGTATGTGTGTGTGTGTGTGTGTGTGCATTTGTCTAAGATACATTTTGCTCCTGCTCTGAGTCGAGGCTACGGTTTCTGTAGTGGCTGTTGGAATTTCTTGGCCTGGTTCTGTGCTTCTCTGTGAGGTCTGCCTTTGGGGAAGACTGGTGACAGCTCTGATTTAACTCAATGTGAATGCCGTGATCCTGTGTGTTCTGGTGGAAGAGTTGGCTAAAAGGTTTGTTTGTTTGTTTGTTTTTTGGTTTTTTAACTTTTGTTGCCTTTTTAAAGTGACCTCCTCTTCTTTTAAAAAAGGAATGATTTCTGCTCATATCATAACCAGGTCCAAACTGGCTCATTGCTGTGAATGACCCTGGTACCCACTCATGTGCATCTGGTCGTCTTGACCCCGTTCTGAATGCCCCCCCCCCCCTTTATCCTGCGCTGCTGGCTTCCAGCTGGGGAGGGTTTCCTGTATATCTCTCCCCCCAACTCAGCCCATGGCCTACTCTGGCCAACCCCTGCCTCAAATGTCTTCCTCTTTGCTAACCACACCCTCGCCACGCCTGCCATGGGAAGCAGCCAGTTAAAAACACTGCTGGAGAAACTGTCTTTCGATTTCTTGGAGGTTTGAACAAGCTGTTGGGTCTGGTTCACTGTCCACCGGGAACAGCGACTGGCTTTGTTCAGCTGTTGACGTGACGTGTCTGTGTCTCTTACTGCTCTGAACCATGTGCTTGTCAAGATTATTTCCAGGTTGATTCAAAGGGAGGACTAGCTGGGGACCACGGTCCAGGTTGCCTCAAGTGGAGTTTGCAAACCAGCCTGTCTCCTTTTCCTGGGATCCATTAGTGCAACCCAAGTCTTTTATGAAAGAGAAAAGCAAGTAAACGGCACGGAATAGTGTTTATGTGGAATGGTGACATCTAGTTGTACCATTAAGGTTCTATCCTTACAGATATAAAGAGCTCTGGCATTTATATTCCAGCCATGAAATGTTCAGGAGGGTCCTTGTGTGTCTCCAAGCGGCTGGGGCAGGCATGGGCTGCCGCAGCAGGGGCAGTATAGAGGTGGCCCTGTGGCTGCTTAACATCTGCCTGAAACTATCCTCCCCTCGGGTCTGCCTTCCTTCTACTTGTGTCTCCAGACAACCTCACTTCGTTCAGATCGGTCCGGCTTGGGCAGGTGCGTGCTTTGCTGTATATGTCTGTTTCTCTGCGTTATCTGGGGGGTGCCTTGAGTAAAATAACTTCATGACATACTGATTCTGGAACAAACCATGGCAAAAACAAATAAACAAAAGAGCTGGAAAAGTGACTGGGCCACCTGCTCCTCTCTTCTGGGTTCTCTTAATGACTCAGGCATCAGAGGTGATGCTGCCGTAGGGAAGGGTATTTTGTATAGCGTACAAATAATTTATTAACTGTATTTCTAAAGGTATGCTGCTTTTAAGATGCACTATGATTTTGGATTTAATCCTTGTGTTGCTTTCCCAAGGAAGTAAAAAAAAAAAAAGGCTAATGATTAGTATGTCAGCTGCCACTTCTTGAAAAGGAAGGCAGGGACCAGCGACAGAATTCATGTGAGGGGACTTCTAAAGACCAGGTGGGTACAGTGAAGTCCAGCACTATTGTCAGGAGGTCTAAACCTACACTTTCTCCCTAAATGCTTTATGATTGCCATTAAAGAAGAAGAAATGAACAGAAAAAGGTGTGAAAATATACAGCTTTGAAGACCCCACTTGCTTCTTCAAGCTGATCCATCTGCTAGATTATGTAGCATAATCCTCTCAAAATGAGTAAAAGCCTGCAAAGCTCTTCAGACTCCCTATGGGTTCCCTAGCTCTGTACATTATACCCCATTTCAACTAGGAGCCACTTAATAAATGACTTCAAACTGCACCACTAGTACTTAACATTTGCTGAAGGAGTTGCTGATCAAGAGGGCAAAAAGAATGAAGTTTTGTCCTCAAATCACTATAAATAGGCAAAGAAACACAATTTTTTTTAAAAGAATAAAGCTATTCACTGGATCATGAGTTAGTCTTTCTTCCCCAAATTGAGGATTTTGCTGTGGGTTCCATTACTGGCAAGTCAGTGCTCAGTTGGGAAGCCTGTGTGGAATTGGAATTCACGCGGGCATTCTGTGTGCCTGGAGGCATTCTGTGTGTAAGCTGTGTGTGCCGAATACTGCCCAAGCTAGCTCCTGACCCAAGCATCAAAGACGGATGCTGCAGAATAAAATATATTTGTACACAAATAGTGTGTGCAAGCAGTCTTTGTACATAGAAAAGGCCTACTGCGGCAGATGGAGGATAAATTATTTGACTGACGGTGCAAAAACATTTCTTGCAAAGAAAAGTAAGTGTGTAGTGTTTTCCTAAACTCCACCCTGGGAGATAGTATTCATAGCAAATGAGTCTCAGTGCATGCTCATTGTCATACGACAAGAACGCCGCCGTGGTGTGAAGAAAACCCACTCGGTGGCAGGGGCCCACTTTCACAGCTCTGGTTCCCTGCTGTGCCATGGTGTGTGCGTTTCACTCGCCAGCAATGGACAAGCAACCTTGACTTTGCTTTCCATGCCAGTGGACTGACCTCAGATAACACAGTGGCCTCCTTAGGCACAGAAGGGCACCCAGAGTGCATTTCAGGTAGACTCAACTGCAGCACCAGGCGCTCCTGTGGGGACAGGAAAGAGGGAAGGGATTTGGACAAAGAGGGTTTTTCTTCCTACAGTTTGATGCTACGTCTTCTACCAAAACATGCCTGGAGGCAGAGGGGTGATCTCCACACGAGTCCTGACCATGCATTGTGCATGTGTGAATGCTGAGAGGCCCATTCATGCCCCGACCTAAAAGACCTGCCACTTCTATTAAGTGATCTGGACGCTTTCATGGGCGTTCAGGAGCTTCGGGCGCTGGTTAGACACGGTGAGCCATTTGAGGCAAGTGCCACCTTTGCTAGTGAGGTCCTATGGGCCCGTGAGAATTTGTTCCAGAACCAGTCTAATGCAAGTGCACCTCCAATCTATGCCTTACAAACTCCAGAGGCCATTTTCAAAACAGGGTTTTCTCAGTGTATGCAAGGGGCCACTGCCCCTCTCCTCTTCCTCCCCAGGTCGAACAATACGGACAGTTTTCACACATATCTACCTGTATAACCCTCTGTACCTCTCATAACTGGTCAACGACTGTAACAGGTTACATCAGGTGTTTTTCTACATACTTTTTACACAGATTCTATGCGATTAATGTAACTGAATTCAATGCATCATTTTGTTGTACTAGTTCTTAGGCTCGTCTTTTTATTTCCTAAGTGATTGTGGTTTTTTCTTGTGGTTTTTATTGTAAAAATGAAATGGCTGTTGATGCTTATTCTCTGTAACTAAGAATTTTTACCTTTTTTGGGGGAAAAAAAAAGCATTGCTATGAACTAATGAATTGAAACTTCATTTACTCATTGTAAATACACTATTGTGCAAAAAAAAAAAAAAATTCACTCAATTGAACTGCTACTGTTAACTGAATTTTGTCTAGACACCATTTCTGTTAATGAAATAAAGACATATCATTACGCATTGTAAACTGATTTTCTCTGATCCCTGTGTTGGAGATTATAGAGCCAGAGGCTTTCAGAACTGTTTCCGTCGAGAGAGGCCACGCCTCTTCCTTGTTTGGACCTTTACCTGCTACCTGATTAATCTGATAAGAAATCTTAAAAATGTGATAATGTGATTCTTCAACTCTCAGTTTTAAAAATCCCGAATGCCTTTGAGAGTGGACAAAGGCACTAAACCCAATTTCCTTGTTTTGATATTGTGCTGTAATTACCAGAAAGTCACCATCGGGGAAGCTGGGTGAAGAATATTGTTTCTTACTAAGGCATGTGAATCTACATCTCATAATAATAGGTTTAATTGAAAATAAAACGTTGAATGAATGCAAATGGGGAAAAGGATAAACCAATGCCAGATACAGTGAATTGCAGGGCAGAGAGTTTATAATTGTGGTTAGGGCAGAAATACAGCTAAGCCAGAAAAGAATATTTGATCACTTGAGTCTGAGTTTTGTAAAAGGAAAACGAGATACTGAATGGCGGGCAGCCCAGATGACCTGAGTACGCTGGACTTATGAGGGGTCTGGCAGTGAGGATGGAGTCACGTGATGGCAGGAGCTAGCAGAGCCGCTGGGCTCTGAGCTTCTGGACGTGCCCAGCCCCATTAGCCAGGTGGGAAAACGGAAATGACACAAGTTGCCAAACTCCACTCCCTCCATGGGCTCCCCACTGAGGCAGAGCTTCGGGGAGCATCTAACAGGATTAGCAAAGTTCTCTGCTGTGAAATCACCATGGCCCAAACATCTCAGGTGTCTTCAGTTCAGTTCAGTTCAGCCGCTCAGTCGTATCCAATTCTGTGATCCCATGGACCGTAGCACAACAGGCCTCCCTGTCCATCCCCAACTCCCGGAGCTCACTCAAACTCATGTCCATTGAGTTGGCGCTGCCATCCAACCATCTCATGCTCTGTCGTCCCCTTCTCCTCCCGCCTTCAATCTTTCCCAGCATCAGGTCTTTTCAAATGAGTCTGCTCTTTGCATCAGGTGTCAGAGGTTAAGAAGAGTCCTTTGCCTGAAGGCATGAAGTTACTCAGTCCATTCTGGGGAAAGGGTGGGCCATGATCCCAAAATTCCTCCCAAAATTCTCTAGGAAAACCTGTTCACTTAGAACCAACAGTCATTTGCACTTTCCACCTGACTTTAGTGCTTGTCGCAGGGAATGGCCGCTGTGGTTTGATACAGAATAAGGCTCTTACATCCTGCAGAAGGGAAGCATTCAAACACCACCCAGCCCCAGATGGGCGGCAGTCATTCTCTTTCCTACACTGTTTTTTAAAAAATTAATTAATCTGGCTGCATCTGGTCTTGTGGCACGAAGGATCTTTCTAGTTGTGACATACGGGGTCACTTTTTTGTGTGTGTGGCAGGTGGGATCTACTTTTCTGATCAGGGTCGAACCCAGGGTCTTAGCCACTAGACCAGAAGTCCCTCTCTCCCCTGGTTTGAATGTGCACCTTGGGTGTGAATCGGGGGCTCTACTTCCAGAGCACACTGAGGAGTCTCGTTCTGCCTTCTCTCTGCCAGCAGCTCTGTGGCATGTTGTTTGGGAAAAAACTGAGCTGTTCTTGGGAATAGTTCTAGAACTTCTCACTCTTCTGCATCTCATCACCCCAGCCCCTCAGTTAGGATACATTACCATGACCGTATTCCATGGCTCCCACAAGCTTGCAACGGGGTCCAGAGTGGAATGGGCTTCCCATTCTCTGCACTGAGCACCTCTGTCTTCCTGGCATAAATAAACGTCATGCTTCCTGGTATCAGGAAATCAAGGTCCAGAGAGACAGAGAAAGCTGCACTTCCCACACCCCATTATGAAACTGTCTTTCTTTTTATTTGAATCAAGAGCATCATCCCTTCCGCCCCTCCCCACCCCGGCTCCTACACATCTGGTCCCTAGATTTTCTCTGATGGAATAGAGTACCTCCCTGGTGAACGCAGAGCATCAGATCAGCTTCAGGAAGTGTGGCCAAGTAGGACAGCGAGAGGCTGACCCCAGAGGTCAGGAGCCCCAGCTGGGAGCTTCTGATGCACAGCCACGGCCTGATCAAGGGTTCCGGAGGGGATAGTTAGGAGTTTCTCCTGCAGTTTGAACTCACAGACATACAACTTTTATTTCGCAGATGCCAGCTCTCTCCTGGGTTCATTTTTTATGATCCCAGGCATCGATTATTTTTTCATAATAGATGAAAGTTCTAGAAGCATGTTCTGAAACAAAATGAACAAAATAGACTCAGAAGGGCTGGTAGAAGCTAGTCTCACCCACCCACACTCGACTCTGTGTGTCACAAATATCCCAAATCCAAACAAAACTCTCTACAGAAGATAGTCCCCCCACCACATCACCCCAGAGAAGAATGTCCAGGTAAGAAGCTCTGTTCCCTGACAGCACTGCAGCGTAAGACCTGAATCCCACCTGCCATCCCCGCCTCCTCTTCCAGCTGTGCTCGTGTCCAAAATCCAGGTCTAAAACTAAAAGGCCAACCTTTTCCTAATCTCCGTCTTTGTCCCCTCCACAACAAACCAGAGTTCCTGACTTTGCATTAATGTGGAATGGGAACATGGATCCCAATGTAGATGATTCATTTTGTAATAATCTTTCCTAAAAATATGCTACACTTAGGCTGACTGTAATGCAGGAGACCTGGGTTTGATCCCTGGGTCGGGAAGATCCCCTGGAGAAGGGAATGGCCACGCACTCCAGTATTCTTGCCTGAAGAATCCCATGGACAGAGGAGCCTGGAGCGCTACAGTCCACGGCTCACCAAGAGTTGGATATGACTGACTTTCACGTTCACTTTCACAGGGAGAGCAGGAAGCAGCAATGGGAGAAGGAACTTGGGTTGGGTCAGACAAGTTTAGGATAAAATTCCAGCTCATTCACCCATTCAGTAAATATTCATTTATGTTCCTGCTATGTCCCAAAGACTGTGGTTTACCACATCCTAACTGTATGACTTGGACAATTCATCTACTTCCTTATTCTTAGATGGCAATCATCACAGGGTCACAATGCGGAAACCCATGGCAGTGTCTAGACAGAATCAGGGCTCCATAAAATGGGGGACTTTCTCCCTCTTCTTTAGATTCTTTGGCAACTGATATATTATGGAAAACTTCTCTAGTAAAACGTTCAATAAATTATAACAATTGAAACATCCATCTAATTACCCGTGTTGATAATGCTGTATCAAAAAAGACCTTCTCAAATGAGACAAATAACCTAGAAGTCACAGAGATTTTAGATTTAGTACAATATTAAAAGTTTAAAGACACCATACACAGTGATAAGATATAAGCAGACTGGGAGAAAATCTTAAAATACATATATTGACAAGGCATTAATATAATACCATAAAATAGCTCTTAGAAACCAGAGGAAAAACAAATATCTCAACAGAAAAATAGACAAGGATAATTCATGATAGAAATACAGATGGTTAATAAACATATGAACAACTTTACTAGTGATCATGGAAATTTAAAGTAAAACAAAGGGAAACATTTCTAGTTTATCAGACTGAGGGTGGGGATAGATAATGTCTGAGTGTGGAGAAAAAGGGCTAATATGGTGGAAAGAGGATAAATTGGCATAGTCCTTCCTGAGCAAAAACTGGCAACATCTATCAAAATGTAAAATATGCATGCCTGTTAAAACCAATAATTCCATTTCTAGGTACCTATCAAGGTATGTATGAGAGATTCATTGCAACATTGTTTGCGGTAGAAAAAAAGTTAGAATGGCTAAATTGTCATCAAGTATCTTACAGTACAGCTATCATGGAGGAGCACGAAGCATGTACAGCTGGGGCGTCTCCGTGGGTGCGGGAGTGAGGAGTTCCTGAGACGTCTCAGTAATTGAGCAAAAGCAAGTGGCAGAGACATCTCTGTAGCAGGATCACATTTATGTTTTTGAAAACATATAACAGATATATGTGGACATACATTTGTATTCAAAGACAGATTGTGACTGCAGTGAGGGAGGAAGGGGAACACAGCCTGTGCTGTTCACAGTGATGGTCTCTGGTGGAGGGAAATGGGAATTGAGTCCAGGTGAGAGGGAGAGGTGAACCCTCACATCGTCAGGGTCACATTTTACTTGGTGTTCTTTTATCCTGATTGAATGTCTTTCAATGAACATGTATAACTTTAATTTGAAAACTAAGAGGAAAGAAAAAGGCTCTTCTTTCAAACCATTAACAGTAGGACCCCTGCATTGAGTCACATCCCCTCTTACCTGAGTCCCGTGCAAGCCTCCGAGCTGGTCTCTCTGACTGCACTCTTACCCCCTGCCTTGGGCCATTTGGGCTGCTATAAGAAAATACCCTAAACTGGGGAGAAATGTAGGGACTTCCCTGGCAGTCCAGTGACTAATAATCCACCTTCCAGTGCGGGGAAGGTGAATTCGATCTCTGGTTGGGCAACTAAGATCCCACATGCCTTGGGGCAACTGAGGTCACACGCAGCAACGACTGAGCTGGTGCCGCAGCCACAGAGAAGCCCAAGGGCCCAGTGAAAGGCCCTGTGCACCTAACGCAGCCGAAAATAAACAAACATTTAAAAACAGAAAAAGGATAAAAATGTGCTTCTTATATTTCTGGAGACTGGGGATTCTAAGACACAGGCGCTGGCAGATTCAGCATCTGGTGTGAGCCTTCTTCCTGGCTCGCAGATGGTCATCTTTTCATTGTACCCTCACATGGTGGGTGGGCTAAGGAATGATCTGATGCCCCATTTAAAAGGGCACTAATCCTGTTCAAAAGGACTCCATCCTTACAACCTCATCACCTCCCAAATGTCCCACTTTCAAATACCACTGCACTGGGGGATAAGGTTTCCACATGTGAATTTGGGGGAGACAAACATTCAGACCACAGCATCTCTACAATAGACTCATCAGAAACAGTGATTTTAAAAATATATGTATCATGGGCTTCCATGGTGGTCCAGTGGTTAAGAATCCACCTGCCAATGCAGGGGACATGGGTTCAATCTCTGGGCTGGGAACTAAGACCCCATAAGCCCTGCAGCAACAAAGGCCATGTGCACAACTACTGAAGCCCCCGTACCCAAAAGCCCATGCTGTGCAACAAAGGGAACCACTGCAATGAGAAGCCTGCACACCACAACTCAAGAGTAGCCCCCACTCTCCACAACCAGAGAAAGCCCACGTGCAGCAACAAAGATGAAGTGCAGCCAAGAGTAAATAAGTTAATTAAATATATACATGTATGCATATGTGTATGTATCAGACCACCACCATTCCCATGCCATCCAACCCAAATTCCTTTCCATGACCTGGAAAGCCTGACATATCAGCTCTTGCCCATTCCAACCTCGTCACACCTAACTCTCCCCTCCATGATCACGGCCCAAGAGTGCTCCCTGGGACCTCAGCACACAGCTCACACCATCAGTCACGCTGAGGTCCTTGGGGGGGGGGGGGGGCAACACAGACAGAGGGACTAGTAAGTACAAAGGTCCTCAGCACTGTGGAGCAACAGGAGAGTGCTCTTTATCATCACTTTAACATCACAGAAGATCAGAGTCGTTCACAGGGCAATCTTCCTCCTAATGCCAAAATCTTCCTACTCTACAGTAGGAGTTCATATTGGAGTCACTGGGGAGCTTTAAAAATAGTGGTACTCAGGCTCTTTCTGCAAGGTTCTTATTACACCATTTTTCAAAGCTTCCCTGCAGATTTAAAGTGGAATTGGGCATGAGAATGACTACTCCACAGCACCTCAGACAAGTGAAGGCATTCATTGATGAATGCCATTCCATACCCTCTCCATTACAGAGGGGAGCATGGGTTCCTAAAGCTCACCCAGCCTTCCTCCCCATGCTTACTAGGCCAGACTGAAAGGACTAAAAGCTTGCTGTCCATGCCCAGTGAACTCCATCCTTAAAGAATCAAACTTAACAGAAAATTATTCAATAACCAACAGGCTTAGACGTGAAGAAACTGTGGGATTTGAGTGTGATGGCAAGGAGAATGTCTTGGAGTATAAATCATGGCTCTTGCAGGTGGTATTCCTGACCTTTTAAAATAGAGTGGATTTCTTTTGCAGGACAGTTCTCTGCAAGGGGAACGTGTGGCAAAGAAACTGTGGTCTCTACTTGAACTCATCTCATTCTGAAACACTAACTGCTACAATCAGAATGCATCTGATTGACCCTGAAAAATTCAGCTCTCTGGGACCTAATACAGTGTAAATAACTGTTTATAGTCCATGTATTGAAAGTGGATGCTCACAACACTTTGCTTGATGCACTAATGTCTTTCCTTTTTTTGGCCGCACCATGAGGCATGTGGGACTGAATTTCCCCAACCAGGGATCGAACCCCTGCCCTGTGCTGGAATGTGGAGTCTTAACCACTGACTTCTGGGGAAGTCCCAACTGCTCTAATTTCTCATGAAAGCTTCCTCTGTTTGCAGTATGATGTGTCAGCCGCAGTGCTCTGGAGTTGACAGCTGTGACCTCAATCTCCAAGTCTCCCTACCATTTGGGGAGTGCAGTGGCCTGTCAACTCTGAAAGAGGCTTGGGGGAAAGTGACCATTAGTAGGAAAGCTCTGGGACCAAAAGTGAAAAGTGAGTCCCTCAGTCATGTCTGACTCTTTGTGACCCCATGAACTGGGGCCTACCAGGCTCCTCCATCCATGGGATTTTCCAGGCAAGAGTACTGGAGTGGGTTGCCATTTCCTTCTCCAGGGGATCTTCCTGACCCAGGGATCAAACCCAGGTCTCCCGCATTGTAGGCAGATACTTTACCATCTGAGCCCCCAGGGAAGTCAAAGCAAATGCCTTGTGACCAAAGGCATTCTTTATAATCCCTAGAAACATAAAGACGAAAGAGGAAGATGAAAATTGAAAGAGGGCCTGTCATCCTCATCGTCTTTTCTCCAAGCTCTGCAGCATGGCTTATCTCTCCCAAAAGATAATCTGAGATGAAGAAAATCTGCCTCAACTAAACACTGCCGTTCTTCCCTCAGTTCTCTGCCAATACAAAGGCTTCTCTCACATGGAAGGAGGTACAAGAGAGAGAAAATGGTGAAAACTGTCATACTGTCTCCACAAAAGCAGATAAGAAGCAGGGGCCACTGGCAAGATTACTCCAAAATAGTGAATCTCAACCCTGATGGCACATTGCAATCACCAAAGGAGTTTTAAAAATACCGATCCTGCATCCCATCTCCAGAGCTTCTGGTTCAATTGGAATTAGATGGGTCCTGGGCTGGAGATTTTTTTTAAGCTCCAGATGACTAACTCAAGCCGGAGTTGAAAACCCTCCCATAGTTTGGCATAGCGTTCCAAGCACCCATACAATAATCCTAAATATAATCAACCTGAGAAGATGGCTGGTCACTGACAAGAAATGAGTATAAGTTTGGAAAAAAAAAAGCATTTTGGGAAAAAGTCTAGGTAGGATGATTCCTTTTCAAGGTAAGGCATTAGGGCAGTAACAAAACATCTCTAAATTCATAGAAGATACGAAACTGGGGTAGAGGGGTTCAATTATTATTAACACAAAGATTGAAACAAAGGAAAAAGCAAGTGTGTGAGCTCAACAAAGCAAACTCCGCTGAGAAGTTCCCCTATTAACATGGTGATTTTTCTTTATAATAAGCAAGTAGTGGGTAAGAAGTATAAGAAGCTAGTAGTGGGTAAAACACGAGTCACTTTTTTCCAGAATTGAGAAGAATCCACAGTAAATATCCATCGTGCCCTATGATAGCCAGGGAATGTTTATTCCATTGTGGCTCTTCAGAGAACAGGATTAAAACCCAGACAATATTGATTTTAGTCTTTATGGAATATATCGCAAATGTTTGTGTATGACTTTTAAATGCCAGAATTGTTAAAACCACGGAGCACGCCCTCCATCCTTAGTGAGACAAGGGCAATCCAAGGTGACAAGCGGCCCCTCCTCTGATTTACCCCTTCCATATTCTGCTATAAAGAGCTGTCTAAAGCGCAGCTTCGTCCCAAGCACTCCTCTGTTGCTCACTGTCTAGCCCTACCGGTTCTCAGTGGCCTCCCTGCAAAGCCTCCATGCCCCCCTCTCCAGTCTTCTTACCACCTTGTGCTCTAGACGCACATGGCCCCAGACAGCTCCACTTATGACACCTCTCGGCTTTTGTCCATGTTCTCCTTGTACTGAGAGAGCCTTCTTCCACGTACCCCAGTCCACCCAGGTCTAGAGAAACTCATCTCTCTCAAGACTCATTTCAAAGGCAATTTCAACTCTAAAGCTTTTCCTGGCCTTTCTGTAAAGAACTGACCTCTCTCTCTTTTGCCCACCATCCCCTCTAACGTGCACACTCACACTTGACCATTTATATGTTTAACTAATTTCCCATCCAGACTCAGAGCGCTTTGATGGCAGAGATGGGGCTCATTTATATCCTAGCACTTATAAGACTAGTTGATAGCAAGTTTTCAATAAGCTTATTTTATGAATTGAGCTTAACTGGATGTACTGAATGACTCTCCGTAAATTAAGCTCCCTCTCCTCCTCTCCCTCTCTCTCAGCACACACATATACACACAAAGAAGGAGGGAAGAGAAGGCTAAGAAGGGGCCAGAGGGGGCACCTCTTGTGAAAGTGCCATGATCAGTCAGGCTGTCTGACCTTACTTACCATGGATGTTCTTCGCCCGGGGGCTGAAGGCAGAAGTGAGGGGCTGTTTTCCCGGTGTGGGAAGCCCTGGCAAGAGCTACTTGGAGAACTGGAGCTTCCCGAGTCCCCGCACAGCTGTCCCTTTTCAGAAAACAGTCTGGACAGGAAGCTGGCCTTGCGACTGCCGGGGTAAGATCTGTCTCTTGCCTCTTGGACCCTGCTGTCTCTCCTGCTGCCTTCGCTGTGTCTGCAGTGACTGTGCAAGTCTGCAAGAGGTTCCCCTGAGGGCTGTCGGTCCTGGGACTGCTCCCAGGGTCCTGTTGTATGTGATGGGCAATGCCTAGGAGCCATCCTTGTACCTAGCCAGGAGTGAGGCCTTATGGTCTGCAAGCCAAATGAAGAATGGTCTGGCTGCTGTCCTGGGTGCTGAATTCTAGCGCCGTCGTCCCAGGGACACGGGCTGTGGACGTGGAGCTGTCCGTTGTGCTGATTTTTCTCAGCCCAGTCTTTTTTACTATAGCAAGGGTCTACGTCAAGTTGCCTGGGCTGCGGGATATGCCACGTCGTTTTAGAATTAGGCACACTGACTCGGATCACTTGCTGTTGATTGTTGGCTTGAAGTAGGGAGATTTTCTCAGGGAAGGGAGAGCAAGTCATACACTGCTGGGTCACTGAATATTTCTTCAAATGGAATGGAGGTCTCCTTTTATCCTCAATGCACTCACTGCTGGATTTGTCATAAAGTGCCCTCATGATTTTCCTGATGCCCAGATGAAATATTTCCAGTATGTTGAGAAACAAAGAGATGGCTGCAATGCTGTGCATAAAGAGCATGAAAATGGTCTTCTCTGTGGGCCTGGACACAAAGCAATCCACTGCATTGGGGCAAGGAGGTTGAGTGCATTTGTAAAGAGGGTGCATTTGAAACCCATAGAGAATATATTGGCCTACCATGAACCCTACTTCCAGCAGAGATCTGGTCAAGACGTGTAAGATGTAAGTACGAAGCAGACATCCTTTCAGCGGGACTTTTTGGATCCTCTTCTGCTCCTCTAATTTTCTCAGTTCTCTATCCATCCTTTGCTGATCCTCCAATTCAAGCTCTGGATTCTCCATCTGGGCTCTAAGCTGTGACTTCTTCCTCTGCCTTTCCTTTTCAAAGGCCCTGAGTCTATACAGTGCATGGCCCATATATACTAGAGAGGGAGAAGACACAAAAATGATCTGTAAAACCCAGAACCTGATCAAGGAGATAGGGAATGCATCATCATAACAGACAGTGTTGCAACCTGGCTGCTGGGTGTTGCAGGCAAATGCTGACTGTTCGTCATCCCAGACATCTTCAGCAGCCACACCAAGTATCAGCATTCGGAAAATGAAGAGGATGGTCAGCCAGATTTTCCCCACCATGGTTGAGTGGGAGTGAACTTCCTCTAAGATGCCACCCAATAAATTCCAATCCCCCATGGTAAGAGACTAATGTCTGAAACATACAGAAAACACTAAGATTAATAGAATCCATGGGTATAATATATAAAAACATGGTCAATACAGCAGGCCCTCTCTTCATGTCAATAAAACTATGAAGGACTTTCCAGCCCTAATACTTATGGTTCATGCTTGCTGAAATATTTCTAAGGGATAGGTTTTGGAAAAAATACTAAAGACCCTCCCCAGTCCAACTCAATTCCTTCCTATCCTCTTCTCTCCTACACAAAGTTGATTGTCATTCTAGCATACTCATTGGCCATCATATTTGTACAATACATTCTATTCCATAATTTTGCTCATTTTTCTAACATATGAAATGCCACATTTACCATTACACCTTACATGATCTTAAATAAGTCTCAACTTCTTTAGGAAGTCTTCCCAGCCATCTCAAGTCAGAGTGAGTTTCCCATTTCTGAATTCATACACTAGTGCTTGTATTACTCATTTGGTACCATGCCTACATGAGCTTTGTGATAGTTGTCTTATGCTCTCTTTTCTGAAAAGGTACTCTTTATAGACAGAGATGCTTTCTATTTCATCTTGATCTTGACATATGAAGGCATCAGTAAACAATAGTGAACTGAATTGTCTTTTCTTTTTAAAAACTCAGCTCCTTGACTCTATCACTGGAAAAAATCATCAACAGAAAAAACAAGTAGATCCTCATTATATATTATCAATGGCTCCTACTGCAAGACTGAAAGTACAAGCAGAGAGAATAGAACTCAGCCAGATAAACCCTCCAGATCTGGCCCAGGGTAGCAGTAAAGATTCAGCAGGCTCAGAAGCAGTACCAGCAATGACATATGATCAGATCCACAAAGCCACATCTGGAACAGATTTCACGGAAGCTCTGCTTACTTAGAAGAAAAGTGAATATAAACTGCTTCGCTAGCAAGCTTGGGAGCTGCAGAAGAATCAAAGCATAGACCATGAATGGGTCATTGGGTTCACCTTGAAAAAAACATGTTTCTCAAGGATCAATGAGGTTAAAATACTTGAGGGTTTATAGGCTTCTAATGTGGATGACTTCCAGATATGAAAGAAACAGGAAAAACAGGTAAGTGTTGTTAAGTTAAACAGATAATGAAACAATTCTCTCCTTCCACAATTCATTTATTCAATACTGTGTACTAAAATTTATCATATAGACACAGTGCTAGATACCAAGGAATTCAACAATGAACAATACATACTTCATTCAGACTTCACAGTACTTAGTCACCAGGAATTCCCAGTAACAAAATGGACAGTGAAAAAGTTATGAATATCAAATCAAAAATATAGAAGGAAAAAAAAACACAGAATTATTATATTTTCTCTACTTATCTCCAAACACAAAAGTAAATCCCATATGGAATAAAGTATTAAATGTAAAAAAACTAAAGTATTGAAGTAAAATGTAAGAGAATGTTCTATAATCTTGAAGTAGAAGGAGGCTTTTTAAATACATCAATGCCAGAAATTATAACTAGGGAAAAAATTAGATTTTACCCAACAAAACTGAATAGCAAAAGTGGAGATGTCCAGAAGGTATTTGGGTCTAGAGAATAAAAACAAAATATGCAAACTACAGATAAATAAGCATTTGTAAATAATCATTGAATAGGTTGAGATCACCTAGGGACAAAAAGAAAAAGTAAGCCAATGGCAGAACTCTGAGAAACAGCATGGGAAAAAGTCTACAAATCAAAATGAGAATGGCCAATGAGAAAGAGGGGGAAAACCAAAAGGGTGAAGGCACTGAAAGCAAAGCAGGACAGAGTTTCAAGGAGAGAATAGTTGACAACGTCGAATACCACTATTTAAATAAATCAATTTAATGGTGGGATAGATCATGCTCAGGGATTAGAAAACTAAACATTTATAAAGATGTCAATTCTTTCCAAATTCATTCATCTGTAGCTCACTGAATAAAATAAAATCCTCTAAACACATACATATATACACATATGTATATGAGATGTATATATATATGTGACTATGTAAGTGTGGAGAGAAGACGCCAAAGGCACACATGAGGAAGTTCATGTCGGCTACTGGAGGTCTGCAGGAGAACATGAGGGCAGAAGAAGAGCTTGAAGGCAGAGCCAAAAATATAAAGGAGAGAGAGACGCTTCTAAGGAAGCATGGCTGATTCTCACCCAGTACACACATTTATGTACATGCATACCTGTATGTACATACATATGCATAAACATCTTTTAAGATAAAATTTTAAAAGCAGTAGGTACCTGTCAGAATCTAGAAGAGGTATTAATGTGTCTTTTCTATTTTACTCCATACACTTGTTCAAAATTCGGAAATTAAAAATGTAGTCATATCTACCACTTGCAAATAAAATTTAGATTATAAAATTTTGGACTATTTCTCATTAACTGAAACAATAATTTACTAAGCTCTATCCTCTCTTAAAGAGTTTCAGTCCTTTCCCATAATTATTCCTTTAATATTGTCTGGCCATTATTCTTTATTAAAAACTAACTCCTTTAGTACTTAAAAAAAAACTAAAGCTTCTATTTTATATAAAAACCTGAAAGTGAAAAAGCTAACTCATTTTATTAACTTATTCTCTATTTAGAAATCCTAAACTATTTAATGTTCTTTTTGCCACTCTTTAAAAACATAGAAATTATAATTTTTAAATAGCAAGAAAACTGGAAATAGGAAATACACAAAACAGAAAAATGATCATGCATATTAGCATGCAAGAGTGAAATCCTTTAGACAAATATTTCTGTTTCCTCAGGTCCAAGTAATACCCTTGAATTTTCTTTCATTATCAAATAAAATATAAAGAAGTTGGCACTCCTTTCGTGAATTTTACTTCAAATATTACCTTTGTATCCCCAGAGGAATTTCCTGTGTTTCTCACAAACAAGAGATACTACATATTTATCACTTACCTTAGGAGTAGATAAAAAAATGACTGGGCTCCAAGAACCTTCAGGTTGGACCATGTGTGGCTGATTACTGGAACTGCTGCTGGCTGCAGATATAAAGGCTCTGACCTGCTGGCTGTGGGGCCCAGTTCAGAATAAGCTCAGTAATTTTGATCAATGGAGTCTAACCTAGTCCGCCCCTGAGGTCAAGATGTCCTTTGGTGCTTTTAAATTTTCTTATGTTTTTTTTCCTAATTGGCATGAGGCTGGAGCCCCTCCCGGTGTACCATATTTGGAAATGAAAAGTGAAACAAATGAGAATTTTCCTTTTTCATTTGTAGGTGATTACAGTGATTTGAATTTCAGTGCATTTCTTTCAGTCAATTGATTGCTCTGTGAATCGATGTCACAGATCAATGGGTCATGTCCAATTTCATCAAGAGCCGCCTGGGGCGAATCTGGCCTCACCAAATGGGAACAAGTAATAATAGAGTGACAATCAAACCCCAAGTGTTCTTGCAAATCATGTCAGGCTGAAAGGAGAAATAGCTCAAAAGGAAATTAAACATTTTCAGACCACCAAGAGGGGGCTGTGCCTGTCTGTAGATTATGTGTTCTAGCAATGTTCTATTAGGCTGAAACAGGCAGCTCAGGAAAAAATTTATTTTTTCCAGTAGAGAATCTGAAAACCTTAGAAACCCATGTCAAATTTTTGTAAAGTGTTTGAATTCAGAGAGGTCAAATGATTTGCCCAAGGCAAACAGAGACCAGATCTTCTAACTCCAAGCCCTGCAGAATCTTCCGTGCGTCACATCTCAAGTACACAATCTTACTGTCACCTTAGAGGAGTTGATAGCAATGGTGTCACCAGAACACAAGAATGGCTTCAAGTCATAGCTCTGATGCACACTTCTAAGCTTGGTCTTTTCCATATAATATATAGAAAATACATAAAATCATTGACAGTTCCTAAGTATCATCTGCCTATATATTTAGTTTTAAAGAAAGGATGATAACGAAAGGTGGACAGGTTGGGGTGGGGAGGTTAAATTTCCACTACCCTGGCTCACTAGCCTCAAGTACAAACTGACAGAATTAACTAGAGGTGAAATCACAGTGTATTAATGTATGTATTTGTATAGTACTGAGTATATTGCCCAAGGAAGCCCTTGACATCTACTCCTAAAGTTCACCTGCAAAGTAATGTATTTAAAAGCTTAAATGCATTTTACCAGAATCAAAATACTAAATTCATATGTTTNATTGACAGTTCCTAAGTATCATCTGCCTATATATTTAGTTTTAAAGAAAGGATGATAACGAAAGGTGGACAGGTTGGGGTGGGGAGGTTAAATTTCCACTACCCTGGCTCACTAGCCTCAAGTACAAACTTACAGAATTAACTAGAGGTGAAATCACAGTGTATTAATGTATGTATTTGTATAGTATTGAGTATATTGCCCAAGGAAGCCCTTGACATCTACTCCTAAAGTTCACCTGCAAAGTAATGTATTTAAAAGCTTAAATGCATTTTACCAGAATCAAAATACTAAATTCATATGTTTATAAGGGTATATAAAATAAGCCCTAATATTAGATACCTCAAGGGAAGGTAACATGATGAATGAGGAAGAGGTGAGATGAACACTTTTACATGGAATTCTCTAAATGTGTTACCTATTCAAGAAAATAAATGTTCAAGCCACAAAGGAAAAAAAAATAAATGCAACCATACACCTGATTTTTTTTTAAAGTCTTCAGCATATGAATCAATCCAATCTTTACCCTTGAAGACTCTGAGCAGCTAGGTGAATTATCTTTGAGACAGGCACAGAGTGAGTGACTCTCCAAACCTCACACAAGTAACTGAAGTGTCCCGAGGAGGTGAGTGATGTTGGCACTGCGCAGCTGCGGGAAACACAGGCGCACCACGGGGTGGAGCGTCATCAAAGCTCGCCGGAGGGTTCAGCGAAAACTAGCATACCAGAGGCTGAGGATTCACTGCCACAGAAGACAAGCTTCGCTTCGCTTGGTTTTGTATTTACTTTTTTAAAGTTCCTACTTTTACTCACACCAAATGTTTTGCTGAATCTGTGGAGTCACTAGTGGGCCTAAAACACACCCAGATCTGAAACAGAGGGAACGGAAAGGTTAGAGAGAATAAACATCTCAGGGCGGAGAAAGAGGCACAGGTCCATAGCCTCTGCCTTTGTGCTCTCAATGGCCCCCCGTGCTCACAATGCCACCTTGTTCACACCTGGTGATATAAACTCCTGTGGGCAGAAGTGAGAGCCCCCCTAAGACTCATGACTTGCTTTATTGCCGTGGTCTGGAACCGAACCTGCAATATCCCTGAGGTCTGCCTATGCATGTATCACCAAGGGATCAGGTAATTCACTCAACCCCTAGCTCGTGAAACATTTTCTGCACTTTTTTTTTTTTTTTGGTGGAGTACGCTCTTCAAAACTGTTTACAATGTGGATCTTTTGAGTGATAAATCTTACTGCTTTTATTAAACTTTCACATGTGAATAACAATATAAATAGACATAAAATTTTAGCTCTACTACTTAAAAAATAGTTCCCTTACAGCAAGCATTGCCCTTCAGAAGAGTAAGGTCAGTATGATTCCTGTTCTTTGCACAATGATCTACTGTCTAAAAGCCTGTAGATGTTTCTTATTATATCTTTAATATTCCTAATTACACTCTGTGTCTAGATGTGGGGTACTTTTTGCCATTGGGCACTCTGTGGTGTTTCAATCTTTAAAAATTTTTCTTCTTCTGACCTTGTGTGTTACTTGAATGTTGGGACATCTACTTCTGTCCATGGGATGTCTACTTCATCCCACTTACTTCAACATTCATACTTCCTATTTACCATTTTTTGCTTCCTCTGGACGAGTTTCTCAATCTGACTTTTCAACTCACTAATTCATGCATCTGTTCAGCTCAGTCGCTCAGTCAGGTCCGACTCTGCAACCCCATGGACTGCAGCACACCAGGCTTCCGGGTCCATCATCAACTCCCAGAATCTGCTCAAACTAATGTCCATCAAGTTGGTGATGCCATCCAACAATCTCATCCTCTGTCATCCCCTTCTCCTCCCACCTTCAATCTTTCCCAGCATCAGGGTCTCTTCAAATGAGTCAGTTCTTCACATCAGGCGGCCAGAGTATTGGAGTTTCAGCTTCAGCATCAGTCCTTCCAATGAATATTCAGGACTGATCTCCTTAGGATGNCAGGTAAGGTGGTCTGGTATTCCCATCTCTTTAAGAATTTTCCAGTTTGTTGTGATCCACACAGTCAAAGGCTTTGGCATAGTCAATAAAGCAGAAATAGATGCTTTTCTGGAACACTCTTGCTTTTTTGATGATCCATCGGATGTTGGCAATTTCATCTCTGGTTCCTCTACCTTTTCTAAATCCAGCTTGAACATCTGGAAGTTCTCAGTTTACATACTGTTGAAACCTGGCTTGGAGAATTTTGAGCATTACTTTGCTAGCATGTGAGATGAGTGTAATTGTGCAGTAGTTTGAGCATTATTTGGCATTGTCTTTCTTTGGGATTGGAATGAAAACCGACCTTTTCCAGTCCTGTGGCCATTGCTGAGTTTTCCAAATTTGCTGGCATATTGAGTGCAGCACTTTCAGAGGATAATCTATGAGGATTCGAAATAGCTCAACTGGAATTCTATCACCTCCACTAGCTTTGTTTGTAGTGACGCATCTGTATCCACTCTATTTTTATTCCATTTTACCTTTATTTTAAATATTATGTTTTTGATATTTCTACTTGGTTATTTCTTATACCACACTGCCAAAATCTTTTTTTCCTTTTAGTGTTTCCTGGCCTTATCTTAGATCTTTACGGTCTTCTGTAATCCAGTTTTTCTTGGATTCAGTGGTACCTCTTAGTTGCTTCTTTACTTTGGCTTATGAACCCATTTGCCTGGTGGTAAGGATTCTTATGCACTGAAGGGCTAGGGGCTGCGGAGGGCTTGGCTATGCTGGATGGAAAGAAAGGGGAAAGGTCAAGCCTTATGGCAGACTGCCCCAGAACTATACAACCACAGTTCATCATTTCAGTTTGTTATCCACCAAGTAATCCTTCAGATCAGGGCTTCCCCTGCAGACACTGGGAGAACTGGCAATTTCCTCAGTAACTCCAGAGCTCCAAGCCTAGATTGTAACCTACCAGTATCACCAGTCTGAAGGAAGAGGGATGGATAAATAATACATAGTCAGGCAATCCTTACCTGCTTTTCCGAGATCTTCACCCAAAAGGAATTTTTGCACTGCCCTGATTTTGTCTGTGAGGACCCCTGGGGCACTGTTCACTGTACCAGTACCTGCTGTGAGAAAGCAGGCAAAAGCAACCGGTTTGCTCCAATGAATCTACTCCAGCACATTTAGCCAGCCATGCCCCAACCAAGAACCACTTCAAAATAGCCTGCAAGGCCCCTGGGCATTTTATCTTTTTTCCATTTTAATTACCATCTAAACACAACAAAAGAAACATTCTAATACACAATAAGAGAACCATTCTAATCAGAATATATCAGAACTTTACATGGTTTTATTTATACATTACTGGTAACGAAAGCAAACTTTATACAAAAAGTTTTATACAAATAAAAAAATCCTTGGCTAGGCACAGCCATTCATGTGTGTGTATACAACAAACACACACACACACAGAAAGTATTTTACATCATTATAATTATACATATTTACAGACACACTATTTAAATTATTTTACAATTTAACAAAATGAGGACAGGCAATTACAAAAGCAAATAAAAATGGATGAAACAAACTAAATAATGGTTAAGTTTAAAATGTTACAAAACTATTTTTAAAAATCTAGAAAAGAAAGTCATTTATTTGAAATATCAAAACTAAGATTTCAATACTGTTTCATTGTTGCTTTTACCTTAATAACAAGTTGTAACCTGTTTAGAAATAAATATCCTGATCAGTAACAGGTGAGCAAGTCAGACTGATGTCAGGAACAAGTTGACCATGTTGGCCTGAAGTTAAGAGTCAGCATGTAATAACAAATGAAGATTATTATCTGGGAATCAAATATGCCATAAAACTGCCCTCTCCTGCTCCATTAAAAACATGAAGAATTCCAAGTTTTTGTGTAGTATGCAATATCAATTAAGACTCCAAGAAACTCAGCAACTTATCTGTAATATAAGAAAATGCTAAAGTTACGATACTGTTTTTCTGATATGATTATTTCATGATATTTCATGAACTGCTGTTCTTTCAAGTGAGTTCTACTTAGACAATATGTGTGTGTATGTGTGTTAGTCACTCAGTCATGTCTGACTCTTTGCAACCCCATGAACTCTAGCCTGCCAGAATCCTCTGTCCATGGGATTCTCCAGGCAAGAATACTGGAGTGGGTTGCCATGCCCTTCTCCTGGGGATCTTCCCAATCTAGGGATCGAACCTGGGTCTCCCTTGTTGCAAGCAGATTCTTAACCATCTGAGCCACCAGGGAAGGCCTAGATAATACTGATGGTTAAAGAACTAGCTTTTTCCAGAATTAGGTTGGTAACTTTATCATTACACTCTGCTTTTGACAAGAATTTAATGAGACTATAGTACTTGAAGGGAAAAATATCAGCAAAGAAACAAACTAGGAATGAAATAACATACTATTTGTGCTATCACGCAAGCAAATAAAATGTCAAGTATCAAATCCATGAAAAAAAATTGTACATTTGCAATGGAATTTGGAAATTTCAAACTAATAAACATCACTTCCAGACACAAGTTAATTCTTTCATGAATGGACATTATCCTCAAAAAGAGAATGGAAGTCACATTTTATAACAATGTTCAGATAAAACCGCAGTTTAACTTCTTAAAGGTAGCGAAAATTTTTAACTTTATTTATAATGAATCTGAAAAATAATCAGGCAATTTTTGCATCAAACTACTTTTTTAAGGTTCTTTAGAATAAGCTTTTTCTTCAAATCCCCCATTATTCAATCTTACATTCTGAATTACATAAGTGGTATTTTAACTTCACATAAACTAAATATTTTTTGAAGATTTCATTAAGAAACTAGTTGCTCTAAGAGGATACTGAAATTAACAGATTATCTAAAAGACAGTAATTTATACTATGTTTAGGAACAGATTTTTATAACTCAAAAATATTCAGAACCCATCACAATGAGATCAAAGTCCAAATATGGTTTTTACTAAGATTTACCTATAAAGTTGGGTGTTTGGATTCAAATAACTATGACTACAAATCAACTGAAAAACAGTGATTTGTTAGATATCTTTACAATTTTCCTTACAGAAAAATCCAAAATATTTAGGCAACTGGCCTAGGTCTTAAAGAAAAAACTCTGATACATATTGCCTTAATAAATCTACATAAGAATGGCTTAAAGAAACATGTTTGTGTACATTATTAATAATTTAATGTGGTAAATCGTGTCACCTCTTCAGATGACAGTGGATTTCATGTTTTTAAATGTATATTTTATATTTAAAGTATTTTAGCACTCAATTAAAAATGAGAAAAATGTTAAATTACAATGACTGTACAGACTTCACTGGCTATGAAATATACTGCTATTCAAGAATGTTTTCTTTTCTTTCTTTTGGCTGCACCATACGGCATGCAGGATCTTAGTTCTCTGACCAGGGATCGAACTGAGGCCCCCTGAAGTGGAAGAACAGAGTCTGAACCTCTGGGCCTCCAGGGAATTCCCTCAAGAATGCTTTTCCTTTTCTTTATCTCTAAAAATGTATAATCAATCATCAAATGGGTCTGCCCCCGCCTTAGACTCATGAGCATGCAGAAGGTGGAGGAGAGAGGTCCTGATCTAACTGCAGCAGGCTTCATTGAGCACGTCCCACCTTCTAAGACAGGTGACTCAGAAGACTTCCTGAGCACGCATTCTCCAACCTATGACGGAAGCACGAGCTGAACTAGATGTCTCTCACCCACCACTCACATTTCAACGACTAGTGAGCCACTAACCGCACAAGTAGTGTCAGACACTTACTTTACTAGCCTCCTGCAGTGTATCCATTAACTACCTGCATTTGGACTTTTCAAAGAGCTTCATTAGCTGCTGGAATCTTTCTGAGACCTGAAAAATTTTAAATGAGGGTTAACTGTAAATATTTTAATAATATATTCTGTATCTTTGATGAATATTTTCAGAAAACATCTAAATAAATAAATTTTTAAAAAATTTTAAAAAATAAAGTCAGCCTTCTGATTTGTGGGGGAAAAAAAGAAAACATCTAAAGACAGAGAAAGCTACTCTTAATAATAACGGTAAAGTAATATTTCGGAAAACAAAATATCTTTGTAATACAGGTAACTGCTATTTAACTTTTCAATATTAAACTTTCTTAAGCAACAAAGTATCATTATAAAATTGTTTGAGACCAAATAAGTAAATGGTAAAATGACAGAAAAAAGAATTAGGATTGTTTCAAATTTCTTCCACAATCATCAAGCTTTTAGCAGTTCTACATGATGAACGTGAAGAATCAAACCCTTTTTTTTTTTTGGCCCCACTGTGCAGTTTGCAGGGCCTTGGCTCCCCAACCATGGACTGAATCCACACTCTTGGTAATGAAAGTACAGAGTCCTATCTACTGGATGACCAAAGAATTCTCCAAAGAGCAATACTTTTAAAGATGTTAGCTAATAAATATCTATATATTTTAAACACATTAAAAATAAAATCTAAGTATTTACAGTAGTACCATCTGTGAAACAACAGAGATGTAAAATTTGGGTAGTTACCTGATATGGATTTTTATTCAACTTAGCAGCTAAATGAGTAAATGTTTTCAATGATGGCCCTTTTTTCTGACATTCCAATAAAATTTCCCGGTCATCATTTCTGAAGGGGGAAAAATGTTAAGTTTTTGTAGGTTATAACAGAAAGGTAAGAAAAAGTTCACTTTCTTAATATCTACTAATAACAACTGGCATTTTTGTTAAAACTCATAAAAAAAGGAAAAGTGTATATACTAAAATAAAGGACAATGGTTATCTGAGAGATAAGATTATGGATGATTTTAATCTTTGAGTTCATACATATTTCCCAAATTTTCTAAAACAAATACACTAATGTATTTTTCTAATGACAAAAATGAAAGATTTTCTTAAAATTCTACCTGTAGTGTGTAAATAGTACTTATAAAGTAGGGCCCAAACATGATCACAGATTTAATAGGTAAGAAGAACCAAAAAGTAATATAGAATTCAGATATTCTAATCCCTAGAGCTCTGCTTTTTCTACATGGTCTGAACCAATGTTTGTTATTACAATCTCTTGAGATTTTACCAGCTACAGGTTACCTGAAATGAAAGCATGGAGGACTGAGGTATTAAAACTGATCCCAATTTCAAGAAAATTCAGTATCATTATACACTCTAGCCAGTCTGGAGATCATGTTCCTCTAGCTTAATGGATTACAACTGTGGTTACCTTTACATCTGAAAGGCGGTCTTTACACCTGCATTTTTTTTTTTAAGTTCACATTAAAATACAACAAAATTTATAAAACTTTTTTTTGAAACTTCTAACTTCAGGGGAAAACTCAAATTACACTCAGTCACACTTTTTGTCCTATTCACCACCTGTCATTCCTCCTTTCTTAAAAAAATGTGTGTATACTATTTCCCTTACAAGTGAAAGATTTTTTTTTTCATTGAAAAAGTGAGGTTAAAACATAGTGAAAAGCTCTGTCCATCATGCCAGTACACTTCCCTGGTCAAGGACCACTGCTCTAGACTGTTCTACAGGACAGCTGGGCTGTATCCTAGAGTGTATTTTCTATCAACTTTGGCCACTTTGAAAGTGATCCCTTTCCCTATTTTAAGTTGGGATAAAACTATGACATGATAGATTTCTGGTGTCTCAAAATTTCCTGGTGATTTAATAGTCTCTTAAGATTCTTACCTTGTCCACGAAACTATAATTTCTCCCTTCTTTTTAATAACATTCTTTGCAGAAAGGCTTGTGAAAGAAGTAGCAGGCGCTGCTGATGCATCCTTAGTCCCTGGGCTTTCCTTTAATGATGCGGAGTCTTTAGTTACTGAAGGGGCCTTTTTCTTACTGGCTTTCCTTCGATGAGCATTACTGTCCTCACCAGAGTCTTGAGTAATTTTTTTGGTCTTTTCCCTACTGGTTAAATCTGTTTCCTTTCTCTGTTTTTTTTGAGAAGAAGGATTTAGATCAGAAAGATTTCTTCTCTTTTTGTGAGGATTATCCAATGTCCCAGGCAACTCTGAACTGTTGGAATTTAATGCTGACTCTGAGTTTAAATCATCCTTTTTCACTTCACCTGAACTGGAAGCTTCCGAGGTTAGATCAATACAGGCCTCCTCAACGACGCATTCCAAAGGCCTGTTTGCCACCTGCACATTTTCTTCCTTTGAGTTATCTTCATCGACACAGATCACCGGAC